GTTTTCTTTTCCAAACACTAAAGTCTCTCTCCCTTGCTCTGTCTCTCCTTTTCCCTTTTGGGAGGGGAGAGGGGTTAATAGAGAGCGTCTGTCATTTGTTAGTGGCCGGGCCAGCAGTTGTCAAGCACTGGAACAGGCTGCCCAGGGAAGTGGTGGAGTCATCACCCCTGGAGGTATTTAAGAGATATGTGGTGCTTAGTGACATGGTTTAGCCGTGGACTTGGCAGTGCTGGGTTAACAGTTGGACCCTATGATCTTAAGGGTCTTTTCCAACCCAAATGGTTCTACGATTCTAAGTACACACTGTAAGAAAAAAATAGCAAAAAAGCCAAATCTGAGAATCCTGTGATTACACACAAGGACAAGCAGAGGTGGAAATGCTAACAGGGATCAGGCCAAAGCCATATTTAACTATACCTACCATAACAAGTATCATAAGATTTACAACTCAGTTGTTTCCCAAACTGAGTTTGCAAAGTTAGCAGTAAGCAAGGTAGAAGCAGGAAGAATATTGTGCACCCCTAGTAAGTTTGGTCTTCCCTTTCTTCAATATAAAAGTACTAGCAAAAAAATGGAATCATTATTTTCAAGTTGCACACTGGAAGTATAAAATACTTTTCTGAGACCACATCATGGCCAGAATCACCTATCTTCTGGTAGAAATCTGGATTTTTAAATTCTTTTTTTTTTTTTTAAATCATTTGTGTCAGAAAGCCACCTAATAGTTTAACTTGCATTTCACTGCCGGAAGACAAACAGGTAGAAGAAATAATGTTTAACTTCCATACTTTTTTTGAGAAACTTAGCCACTGGGATGGAAATCTCTTACTATTGCTGCTTAAACCTCAATTTAAGAGTGAAAATCTTCTGCAGTCAGAAGAAAAGGCTGAGGATTTTGATATTGCTCAAGGGGTACATAAATATAATTTTGGGGCCTTTCCTTTACCTTCTCTTGCAAACTCCATTTCCTGTTCTCCCTGTATTTGGCATTTAAAGATGAAGTTAATGTCATCCGCAAGCACAGAAAGAAGAGTGACTGCATCAGACATGGAAAGAATGGAAAGATTATTTTTAATTAGGTGTAAAACATCATTTCAATAGGGACAAGTGGTACAACCAGGTGATTGGAATTGCTGGCCTCATGTCTTCGATATCATTTACAGAAATCTCTTGGTTTATATTATTGTTACCTATGAGGTGATACTGGCTTAATGGGGCTAGATCAGGCTTTTAAAATTATAGCTGTTGCAACACAAAAGAATTGCCTCAAAAATATCTGGATGGGGTGATTTGCTTTTTAATTACTCAGTAAGTACATTGAGAGCAGTTTCAACAGTCAGAAAAACAACATTTCAAAACACTGGTATTTTAATGTGATCTATAGTGTCATCCTATAGGAAGGAATGAAATAAGAGTCTTGGAAGACATTCAGACTTTCAAATACATTTTTTCAGCTAGAACTTAAGAAACATCTGGAAAGGTAGCTATAATTATTTTCTCTTTATTTGCAGTATCAGGATGAATTAATTAGTAGCAAGCATCAGATTTAGTTATTACAAAGGGCACTGCTTATACAAAAGGATTAATTTGAATTTTGCCCCCTTTTCAAAAATTCAGTAATTTTTAAGCCTCAAAATATTTAGGCCCCTCATTATTTGAAAAGAAGTATCTTGTCAGTCTACGTGACAAACCTCTCCTTGGGCTAAAAACATTTAAATCCAATTTCTGCATACTCAGAGTGCAGAACTAACCACACAAAAGGATCTAATCCTCTTTTTTACTTGAGCTAAAGGCGGCTTTTTTTGCAGCGCTAAGAATCAAGAGGTATGTTTTTTAAAGGCACAACATCCGAACAGCACTCCGCAGGAGATTCCCTTTTGCTCCCGCACCTTCCATAAATGCTGACAGAATCCATTTTAACCACTACCTGCTAATATTTTCTTTAAGTCAGTTCACGTGCAGCACCTGTTTTCAAGGGCATAGTCACAGAGCAATTCTTACACTAAGCTGCTTCCCCTCGCCCAAAGAGAGGCTTCTTGCTCTCCACGTCTTGGGAACACGGTTGCTCGGAGCGGGACTCGAGCTTAAGAAGCCATTTGGTGGCTGTGAGTAGCTAGAATCTCCCTCTTCTCCAGAGGCCTGCAGGCCTCCAGGAGGCTGTAGCAGGAACTAGCAGCAATACCTCTCTGCTCTCTGAAGGCTCCTCCTGGCTACCGATGCTCTCAGCAAAGGGAGCGAAAGCCACCACTGCTCCCTCTGCACCACCAGCCGCCCTGATGAAAAAGACCGGTCTTTTTGGATTAAGTACAGTTAATCTTTAAGGCTTACAAGTTTAACGATGTACTTGACAGGTAACGAGTATTGATGATTTTTCTTATACGGATGGTTCGTTTCGAAATGGGAGATGGTGAGATTGCCGCACAGCCCATGAACTTTACCGTTCTTCCGGACAGTTAACAGTAAAACCCAAGCCAAGAACAAACAAGCACAAGACAAATCTAAGCATGTTTGTTTTGTTTTTTTTTTACTATGTTTTGTGTCATTAACTCTGAAGGAACTCTCATATTGTTTACAAGTTTAAAAAATCGGGGGTTTTTTATACATTCCAAAATGCATTTGGGGAACTCTAGCTATTTGATACTTAACAAAGTGTAACAGAATTTTACATTCTTTCACACATATAGCACTGCACCACGAACAGTAATAGTGACATTCATTATCTGCAAATTACTTCCTTTCACCAGCTTCCTTTTCCTCCTCTAAGTTAAAATAAAAGGATTTGTCATAGCCCATGAGATGATTATAATCCTGAGGATTTGGGAAAAGCGTCGGATTAACAAGCATTGATTTGGTTTTAGCATAAAATGTTGTAAACATCTTGGTGATGTCTGGAATCTTTACATCCTTCTGATGGAAAACAGTTGCTTTTTCTGCCAAGATCGCGTTGTAGGTAATGGCTGTATACGTGTCCATTTCATCTTTATAATACAGTCGAATCACATAGCCTTTTGTAAGGACATGCAAAGTAACTGGTGTTACAAACGTAAAAAACCCAATCAATCCATAAAAGGCAGCTTGTATAAACAGACTTTCAAATCCAATACCCGTTTTGAGCATGATGTAGGGCACCATGAGCAGGTTGAATATGCTGGTGGAGTAAGAGAAAAACCTCACACCTACATAAAATAAAACAAAAAGAAAATGAAGGTCAATACTTATGAGAAAAATGTTCTCTATAAATTGCGTATGTTCTGCTACTATATATCCATGATTTTACTTGAATAGCTGAAGTTATCGAAAATCCATTTCCCTTTTATTTTTTTAAGCTCACAAAGAAACCACTGAAAGTTCAACCCTGTCTTCTCACCATATTCTGGTTTGTTTATATGTTCATGCTGGGATACGAAGATGATGAGGAGAATGAAGCATCTCTCCTATGAAGAAAGGCTGACAGACCTGGGGCTCTTTTGCCTGGAGAAGACTGAGGGGGGACCTTATCAACGCCTATAAATATCCAAGGGGCAGGTGTCAAGAGGATGGGGCCAGGCTCTTGTCAGTGGTGCCCAGTGACAGGACAAGGGGCAATGGGCACAAACTGGAGCACAGGAAGTTCCGCCTCAACATGAGGAAAAACGTCTTTACTCTGAGGGTGGCAGAGCGCTGGAACAGGCTGCCCAGGGAGGTTGTGGAGTCTCCTTCTCTGGAGATGTTCAAAACCCACCCGGATGCAGCCCTGTGCGACCTGGTCCAGGCAAACCTGCTTTAGCAGAGGGGTTGGACTAGATGATCTCCAGAGGTCCCTTTCAATCGCCATTGTTCTGTGATTCTGTGATCAAAGCTGGTAGCTGGCTCTGTTTCCAAGCTGAAGTCAGCTACTAGCTATTATGCAGACCTATGAAGTTTTTACTTCACAGATAGGAAACTTACTCAAAAGAAATTACTCCAGTCACGGACACACACAGTGGTAATCATCACAGATATGACTGGGAAATTCTCTCTTCCTCAACAACTAACAGTGACATTCAGTGTGCATTACAAAGGAGCTTGCTTGGTCCCCCACCACGCGTAACTTGAAAAAACAGGTTATTCAATATTAATAAGTACTCCACAGCCATCCTGCGTGCAGCTTGAAAGAGTAAGTGAGAGATGTGGATAACCCACATTCCTCAAGCCACCAGTAGTCTAATATGCTGTGAGAATTAAGTACGTTAAGGCACACTTCCTCCTTCTTTAAGACACATTTGAAAAATGTGTATCAGAAAACATCCATTTTCACTAGGTCTCTGTAACATTAACTGGTCAAAGATCAAAAAAGTCTCATTACAGATAGTGCATTTCATCACAGTATCCATCTACTTCAGAAACATTTCAGTAACATTTGAAAGCATAGAGAATATAAACAGCAGTTACAGCTAGTCTTTGCTGCTGGGCTGGGTAACGCACTCCAAGGGCTGCAAGAGAAACAGAAGGAGCCTGGGGGGTTAGAGATGCACAGCACCTACAGAACTCCCTGCACACCCAAGTGTAGAAGCAGAAACCAAGACCCACCACCACATTTCTCTGCTGTACAAAGGATCCAAGTTTTAGCAGAACTGGAAAGGAGAACATGTACTTTTATAATGTTGCATTTTAGTTATTAAATACTGTTAAACTTTAAAAAAAAGAAATACAAATCACTTCTAGTCACATACCTAACACTGCCTTTGCCAAATTTCCTTTGTAAACTAATCTCCCGTGTTCTGGGTGTTCAGGGGAGGATGTGCAGAGGCTGCGAACAGCCACTCCTTGAAAAGATGCAACCTGAAAGATGAACGCAGCACATGGCCCAGCAACATTTACATAGATAAACATACACACACATGAAGTTTCCCCTTGCTTTGAACCTATTCCCAGCATCTTAAGCTAGGAATTAAGGTTAGGTTCTCCAACAAAGCCCATCACAAACTCCAACTAAGATACCGCTTGACCCTTTTAATAATCTTCCCTTTAGCTATCCCAAACTTGCAACCCCACACGCAATCGTTTCCCACGCGGTGTGCAGGGACGCTCCCAGCCCCCGCTCCACCCCTGCCAGCATTCCGCTCGCTTTCCGGCGCGCCCTGTGGGGAACCTCGGTACCCTTCTTCTATTCCCGTTTTTCGCAAGGAAAAAGGCCACGAAGCCGAGGGCTATGCCAC